ATAAATTATATATTTTCGTATTACTGTAATGTAATTTCATTCAAATAATGACATGTAATAAATTTTTACTTTTAATAATGAATAAATGTAACCAATAAAAAGTCATAAAAGACAACTCATTTATTTTTTTAATTAATAAATAGACATATGATTTATATTTAACTTATATATCAAATCAATGGCCAAAGGGTTGATTCATAATAAACCTGTTCATCATATCCAAGGCAGCCCTGGGCTGATCGGTGGGCACCATATGTCCGGCATTTCTAATGATAACATGTGTAAAATTGTCCACTTTTTTCGCATAACCGGTCACTTCATTGTCCTCTTTGTCTACTTTCCAGACGATTCGTTTGGCGGAAGAAAACTCTTTTGAATGTTTCCACTCTTTAATACGATTTTTAATAAACATTTATCAAGTATTTTAATATTTGACTCAAAAGTTTACCCAAATTTTCGAGAAAATTTTCCGTAAGCGTAGCGGCCACTATAATATCTAACTGTCCACTGTATATTAATACTTTGTAATTATTGATAAGTGTTGTAAACCACGGCTTAACCGAATAAAACTCATCTTTAATAAGATAGACTCCAACGGTCGCATTAGTGGCCACATATGTGGCACACCCGACATGTATGGCCTCTTGAGTTGTGTTTAGATTCAGAAATTTTACAAAATTATCTAAACCTTTGGGTTCTCTACTGTTTAATATATTGAGATAATAGGTGAATCCAGTTACATTTGTGAAATATGTTGAACCGTTTGTTAAATCTCCACCTTTTTTAATCAGAAAAAATTTATAATTTATACAATAATAATGAAACTTATTTCAAACCTATTAACTGGTCCTGAAGTTCAAAGGCTTCCCGGTATTTGTTTTGTTTAATATCTACAGCAGTTTTGTTTTGCACTTCAATGAAATGGTTTAATTGGTTTTTATCAATTAGTCCGATTTGATACAAATATGAGCCGATGTCCAACATATTCAAGGGGTCGATCCAACCGTTCCCAATGGATATACCCTTGAAGTTGATATTAGAAGTGTCGGCCATTTGATGCAATTTATAGCCAATAGCGGGCACATACTTTCCCGCATATGATTCCCCGGTCACATAGAATTCATTATTCCTATACTCGGAGAATAGTGTAAAGAATTGTTGCAAACCATTGTACAAATCTAGGGCCACATCTGTTTCATTGGCCGCAAAGCCTTCACTATTTTGTGTGAAACTAAATCCAGTTCCCACCGGATTATCAATGTATAATACAGAGTAATTTTGTGCCCATGAATATTTATTAGGCACTAAATTAAGATTATTGTCCACGGTGAATGGGCCATTCTCTGTAAATAGCGCTAACATTGATGATGAACCAGGTCCTCCCTGAAGCCATAGTAATACTGGTGCTGTCGATGCGTTATTCTTTACATAATTAGGAATTTTTTATTGTTTAATACTTTTTATTTTATTTAATATTTACATTAATTTTATATTTATATAAAACTTAAAGAATTCATACCAAGGCTGGAAAGAACCAAAAGAATAGATTACTATTGAATTGTTGATTAACAGTCAAGAATCCGGAATAACTGGTTATATTCAATGTTTTTGAGAGTCCCGTTACGGCACTTAATTGCTTGGCCTCAACTAAACGGCTCGTTTCAATATATGGTGTCAATAATAATGGATCACATTTTCTGTTGGCATATGATCCTGATAATTGTATGGCAAATATTATAAATGCAAAAGTTTTGTAATACATTTTTATTAAAGTTTAATTTCTTTGTTGTTTAATATTCTCTAAATATAACACACATTTATTTAGTGATGTTTAAAGTTAACCTCAATCAACTCCAGTAAACTTGTAAATAAATTGAACATTAGCCAATCATTAAATATACTGTAGTACTAATACAGTACTGTAGTATTTTTACTGATAACTTAACATTTAATTAACTGATCGAGCTGTTAATACGTTTATAACAAATTATTTTTAGCTAATATCTTAAATGATAAAGATGTGTGACGATCAAATAATTATATTTATATTATTTGTTTAATTTTTCTAACAGATTTGACTCTAATATCTATAAAACAAATAAATTGATAATACAGTAATAATTTAACATTTTCACTTACAAGTTAATATCATAATATTTTTAGTATTCTTACTACTTTAGTATTCTGGGAATTTGTATGAACTGATAGATAAACATTTGTAATAGTATTGGCATTTAAGTAAATATCACATAAAATTAACATACAGATAAAAATAAGTTATTAGTTTAAATAATTTTCTTTTATTATAAGTTTTATTTTTAAAATAGTTTAATTTATCTAAATTATATATAAATATTTAAAATTATAGCAATGATTATAAAATTGCCAAAAAATATTATAATAAATACTTTAAGTATTCTTTTTTAAAAAGTAGCTAACACTTATGTAAATACATAACAGTATATTATAATGTTAAATTATTGATTGTTTCAAAATATTATATTTATATTAACATTTTATATTTTAATTTAATAAAATGAGTATTTTTGTAGTGTTAAATATTATTATATAAAATATATACTGTATTCATATGTTATAAAATTAATAAAATAATAATGAATCTTAATGTATTCTGAATCTGGACACATTTTTAAATTGGATAATTTCTCTAATTTGATAATAATCTACTAACTTATATAATATATACCTAAAATTTTGCATGTTATTCAAACTTTGTTTGATACAGAGAATTAATGGTAATTTAAAATATGATATTACTATTAAAGATTAAGGATAAATGTGTTTAATGTGAATTCAATTTAATAAAACATTAGATTACATTTACGAATTGCATCTACTTTTATATATAACACAAAAAAGATTCTGTTAATACACAACAGAATAAGAATATATTGTATTCAATGAGAATATATTTGGTTAGAGAG